TCTAATACCTCAAATTGTCTTAGAAAGTTTATTCTCCAGCCAATTTTCGTGTCAAAAGAAAAAGAAAACTGCTTAAGATTAGAACAATCTAGAGTAGAAAAAGTAGATAGGAATGGTGCTTAACCCAGTGAGGGTAGGTACTTATCTCTAAATACTAATAGATGGAGAAGTAGGCAAAATTCCCACTAGCAAGCTAACAAATTCGGATGACCTGTTAGTTCAGGACACCACAAAGGAAAATTTCTCCTTCAGAAAGCCATCTTTCACTGGATTGGAGGGTGAAACAAGGGAAGAGAAAGACAAAGAATATAGACTGTGTGCAAGGCAAGAACTGGCTGAGACATATCAAGAGATTGCAATGATAAAAAGTCAAATATGTGGCCACTGGTGTCTTTGCAAGATATCCTATAAATAATTAAGCTCTGAAGAGAGAGTAGGGAAAAAAAAGTGAAAGAAGAGGTATGTTTCATCCCATTTGGCTGGTTTTGGCTGGCAGGATTAGTTTTCTCCCTAGTAATTAGTATGTGGTTTTGTTTGCATTTGTTCTGGGAACAGTATTGATAACACAGGCATATTTTGCTACTCCTGAGCAATGCTATGACACAAGGTCTTTGTTACTCCTCACCTATGCCACCAGTGAGGAGGTTGAGGGGTGCACAGAAAGCTGGGAGGTGACAGCTGACCCCAAATGACCCAAGGGATATCCCATACTGCATGGCATCAGGCTCAGCATATAAAGTTGGAGGGAAAAGAAGAAAGGGAGGGGAGATTTGGAGAAATGGCATTTGTCTACCTAATTAGGCATAGTGCAGCCCTGCTTTTCTGGAGATTGCTGAACCTCCTGTGGATGGGAAGTAGTGAATAATTTCCTTGTTTTCCTTTGCTTTACCTAATGAACTCTCTTTATCTTAATCCACAAATATTTAATGACTTTTACCCTTCAGGAGGGCATGAAGGACTGACTATCCCGGGCTTAGTTGCCAGTCAGGGTTAAACTATGACACCTGACAATTATGTTTCATAGGTCAGATCCACCATAAAAATTAACAGAGCAAGAAGATACCAACATAAATAGATGAGGATCTGAGGTCTGTAGAGAAATCCCGAGGAAGAAATATTAAGCAGTGATGTAATGAGAATTTAGGAGGATTTATTTGAATTAATTAAGAAAAAACACAAAGTGGGCAAGCAGTGAAACAATATAGCAAACTATCTGTAATTGCACTGTGTGTATAGCATCTGATATTTCTAGAAAAGCAACTCACCTAGCACAGGACTCCAATTTTGTGTTCATATCCCAGGTGCTGAAAAGAAGTTATACCTTGACTACTCAAAAAGTTTTAATTTTTCAGAAAAGGAAAGGCTGAACACTGATAACATCCACTGCTTGTCAGTAATTTTTGACTCAGAATTCGTGGCAGAGTTTTAGATCAGGAGAGCTCAAAAATGAAATTAGATCACCGTGAACAGCAAAAGCAAAAAAAAAATTTATGAATTACTCTTGTCATCTTCTGAAGAGTTCTTTTAGCAGACCCACTTGTGTTTACTGTCACTTTTTTTCCTTACATTTTTGGGGAAAATATGATTGTCTTTCAAGGATCATCTCTGCAAGGCTCAGGGGTGTTCCACCACCACATATAGAAGTTAACAAGAGTTTTCTTTCAGTAATTTGAAGATTATACAAAACAGGAAGGAATGGTTGGTATATCAGATGGATCTACTGCTTTTTAGAGGTCATTAATAGGCTGGAGTAATGTGTAAACAGGAACTTCATGCAGTTTGGTAAAGGGAAATGCAAAACACTACACCTGGGGAGGAAGAATACTTTCAGCATAACTGCATGATGGGGGTTGGCTGACTGGAAACCAGATCTGCAGAGAAGAACCTGGAGTTCCTGGGAGACAAGCTGATCATATTCCAGCATGTTACTATTGCAGCAAACAGGGTCTGCATTAGCAGAAGTATTTCTTGCAGATCGAAGCATCTGGTCCTTCACCGCTGCTTATATCTGGTGAGACAGACTGAGGGGGCTGTGCACAGCTCTGCCCTCTCCAAAACAACAGAACACACTAGAGCAACTTCAGCACAGGACACAAAGATTGTGAACTGAAGCTTGTCTTACATGAGTAGTGGCTGACAGTGGCTGGGGCTCTCCAGCATGGAGAAAAAGGGCTTGGGGAAATCTTATTAATGTGTATAAATATATGTCTGGAGCAACTGAAGAAGATGAAGTTAAACTCTTTGCACAAGTGCCAAGTGGCAAGACAAGAGACAACGGCAAGCTGAAATAAATGAAATTCTGTCTAAATATAAGAAAATAATTTCTACTGTGATGTTGTTTGAACATTGAAGTAAATTCCCCAGGAGACTGTGAGTTTGCCATCCTTGAAGATACTCAAAATCTGACTGTACATTGTCCTAAGTTACTTACTCTAGTTCATTCTGCTTTGAGCAAAGGCTCTGAACTGGACTATCTCCAGAGATGCCTACCATCCTCATCAATTCTGTGATTCCATGAAGTCCTATAAAATGGTTAAATGAATGAAAAAAATCATCAACAGCTGTTTACTTCACAGTACTTTGAGATGCATCAGTGTAAACGCTGTTATAATAATATATTCTCTTACAACAGTAAAAAAAGAGGAAGTTTATTTTGTCTTTACTTTGCTAAGACAGTGGGTTTCATGCAAGGCTATTAGCTGTGACTTTTGAAGTCATGGATATTCAACAAAACTGGCATTTGAATATAGAATCTGCACAAGGACATGCCACTATGTCTCACCCCCCAGAATCCTATTTAAATAGACAGGTTTAATATTTAACATCCATTTCATTCTCTACTTGTTCATTTTTACCATAACTGCTTTCCAATTTTTGAAAGGGAACTGAGGTAATACTGGAGAGAAAGTAAGGGTAAAGTCTGGAGAATACCTTTCTGGAGAATATCCACAGAATAAAAACCTAATAGTACACTGCTAAGTAGGGGCTAGCAAAATCAAACAATCAAGGCATGCAAAATAAGCCTATACATTCTGTTGCATTTCCACCATCATGGAAACAAAATAAATGAAGTGCAATTTTCATTTTCTTTGTTCAGGAATGTTTCATTGAAGCAGAATCCAATTTCTGTATATGAGAAACTTCATGATATTACTGGTAACAGCACTCTGCTATTTCTTTATGTGTTGGGAGCTTAGACTCTGTTATGGCCTGAAATGCCACTCAGGTTTGAGAATTACACTGCTAATTGCAGTATTAGCATTTTGCTAGTCTTGCTTAGCAATTTCATGACGATGCCTAGGCCTCAAAGAAAAAATAAATTGGAGATGTGGAGACCTGCTCTTTTGTTTAATCTGTATAAACTCTGGGGAGATATTAATCTCTCACTCCATTTTTTTTCCTCATAATTTTTTAATAGTTCTAATGGAAAAAGAGGGCATCATAACAGGAGTTTCATGCTGCATCTTACCGTATAAATGGTATGGACCATTAACTAACCCAAGGGTTTAATGTTTAAATCAAGAGTGCAGACAAAGGGTGGGGAAAAAGAGCTAGCGAAGAGAAAATAACATGGATGCAATATAATATCAGTTCTGACTACTTGCTTTAAATGCTCGTTCTGAATTTTGAGACCTTTCTATGGGTTTGTGACAGAAGTGATTTAAGAGGTAGCACAGCAACAAAACAAAGAAAAAAGTTTAAAGGTGCTTGGAAAAAAGAGTGAGAACTTTCAGAATAGAAAGTATGGTGATGATGCCATCACAATCTCTTCTTACAGGTTTGGAGTTCTTTTTAGAGCTATAGTGTATGATGAAACAAAAGTCGATGTAATAAATACCTCAATCTTAATTCAGCAGCATCCTGGATCCCACTAAAAAGGACTAGTTTGTTTTCAAGGGCATTCAAAGGATATTAAAAATCTTCACTGTTCTATAACACTAGAGTAATCAGCCTGAAAAAGAAAGAGGGAAGGAGGGAAGGATAGACTCCAGGAATTCAGGACTCTTGGACTCCAGGAAGGAGGGGAGGAAGGGAGGGGAGAAAGGGAGGGGAGGGAGGGAGGCAGGGTAGGAAGGGAGGGAGCCAGGTAGGCACACAGGCAGGAAGGAAGGGCACTAAACCAGTGTTGTGTTTTAACCCCATTTGTCAACTAAACACCACATACCCTTATTTAAGTTGTTAACTTATTTCTGAGAGTGTAAATTCTTTCCCTTCCCTTCCCTTCCCTTCCCTTCCCTTCCCTTCCCTTCCCTTCCCTTCCCTTCCCTTCCCTTCCCTTCCCTTCCCTTCCCTTCCCTTCCCTTCCCTTCCCTTCCCTTCCCTTCCCTTCCCTTCCCTTCCCTTCCCTTCCCTTCCCTTCCCTTCCCTTCCCTTCCCTTCCCTTCCCTTCCCTTCCCTTCCCTTCCCTTCCCTTCCCTTCCCTTCCCTTCCCTTCCCTTCCCTTCCCTTCCCTTCCCTTCCCTTCCCTTCCCTTCCCTTCCCTTCCCTTCCCTTCCCTTCCCTTCCCTTCCCTTCCCTTCCCTTCCCTTCCCTTCCCTTCCCTTCCCTTCCCTTCCCTTCCCTTCCCTTCCCTTCCCTTCCCTTCCCTTCCCTTCCCTGAAATTCCCTTCCCTGAAATTCCCTTCCCTGAAATTCCCTTCCCTTCCCTGAAATTCCCTTCCCTTCCCGGAAATTCCCTTCCCTGAAATTCCCTTCCCTTCCCGGAAATTCCCTTCCCTTCCCGGAAATTCCCTTCCCGGAAATTCCCTTCCCTTCCCGGAAATTCCCTTCCCGGAAATTCCCTTCCCGGAACTTCCCAACTTCTTAGAACTCCCATTCCCTTCCCTTTTTACCCATCCAGTGTTGCATCTAGCACCTTACTTTATAAAAAAATGGAAAGATGAGGTTCTCAAATCATGAGTTACAGGAATATGACCGTTGATACACTATTGACAAAATGAAGGCTTAGTAAAGAAAGTTTTATATAATCATGCAGAGATTGCATTTTTCTTTCTTTTTCAGATCTCATGATTTACAAATGTAAACCACAAAACAGAACAAAACTTTTAAGTCCATACATTTTTTAAAGCTAGTTCATCCATTTAAGAATGATGACATATATGACCTGTTATCCACTTGTCAGGCAAAAGAACAAAATATACATACATCCCATACATACATACATTTTCCATATAGAGAAAAAGATTTTTTAACATTTGCAAACATAAGACCAAAAGCAATTTAATTTTTAACTGCCTTGAAACAACATATGTACAAACGGCAATAGAAGGCATGCTCAGATTGAGTTCTTTTACTATGGAAATCATAAATAACATACCTTAAGACAGGAGGTTCAAGTCCTGAAGACAATCACAGCACCTTTGAAAATAAAATTCATCTGTTGAAACTATTACAACTAATTCACTTCAGGATAAAAATCCTTGTCCTCTGAGAGCTTTTATTTAGCACAGTTTTCAAGCTCCCTTAGTACTTAGCAGCATGCTCCTGTCTGATTCCCAGCTACCTTCAAGAGATGAGTGCAATTTGTTCAGTCCCTCAATTCCTTTTTTGAGTTTCCCAAGAAGAAGGTTCACTATACTATCCAGTCCACCTCAGCCCAGCCCCCCTTCCTGGATTTCCATTAATTTTGTATTGTGTGCCTAGCAAGAAATCTTTCTAAAGCTACTATTTTCTAAAGCAACTATTTTATCAACAATATTGTGTAGTCCCTCTGCAGCACTGTTTACTGCAGCAGCAGTTAACTAACAAACTGTTTAAGAATAAATACTAATCTCACAAATGACAGAAAGAAAATACCTAGCACCAACTTCTTAATCAGCTATTTTGGAATGAAGGAGAATGTAATGACTGGACTTTTGGATTACCAGTGTCAGCACATTGGATAAAGCATTATAGGCAGAACACTGGGAACAGATTATTTTGCCAAGGCAAATTTTTTTGCCTTGATAAGCCTTTTCTCATCCATACTTTTGTTTTGCACATGTTAGGTGAATGTCATCACAGGGTCTCATACTCTGTTGTGGCGTAATCATTGGGATATATCCTTTGCTCTTCTATTTGTGCAGTGATTTCAGAAAAGTAATAGAAATTTATTGTATTTAGGTATCTTGCCCCCTTGAGTTCAAGATATCAAAGCCCTGTTAAACAGACAATTCAACTTGCTTTTTTTTTTTTGAGAGAAGAATACTCCTATTATGGTGTGTCCTTGCCATCCCTTGTTCTACTCTGGATGTATATTTATAAACGTATACTTCTGTAAATCTATACAGCCTTGTATATTTATGTATATTGCATTGGCACATAATTTTTAAAATACTGCCTGAAAATATTTGGTTATTCCTCATCCCTTTGCAAATATATTAATTCATAAAATATTGGACTTGCCACATCCAATTTTCTGTAATTGTGAATTTAACTGCCACCCTTGAAATATGATAAAGCTATAGTCCAAGTACTCTACTGTTACTCTACTACAAAGCTTGCCTTATTACAATATAGATAATGAAACCATCCTATTCACCCTAATTTCACAGATTTTATAGCTAAACACAGCTGTAGGACCCAAGAAATTTCCTTTATGTTCATATCATTAAATGTTCGTTGTAAAAGTCATCCCAGTGGCTTAAGAATCAGATTAACTTTGTCTCTACAGCAGTTGCTTTATTGGCTAGCACAAGGAAAAGTATATTTCATCATCTTTAACAACCTGTCTTGTGTCATATTAGAGATAAGTACTGATTTTTTGTTGTACCAAAATTATAGTTTTCTCATTAATTATATATTTGTCTGTACAGGTAAACATGCCAGCTATTTATTAAGTATAAAGACACTGAAATTTCAGACAAATATTTTCAATTGAATTAACCTGAATACAAAAAAAATCAATTTAGATAAGTATTGTTGCAGAAAAATAAAATATAAAAAAATACAAAATGAAACAACAACCACCCAAAATTAAAATTTAATTATTTGAATTAATAGTCTCAAAAATGAATCTGAAACAAATACATTACATTCAAGGAAGCAGATCTTCCTTCGAACTAGAATTATTCAGATAAATACATGGATATTTTTTTTCAACAGCATGAAAAAATTCCCTCCAGCTGTGAAATAAAGCAGAAGAATGTAATTTTTTAGCTTTAATTCATACCTAATAGAATGCATGTCTCTATCACCTTATAAACATAAGTATTATCAAGTGTATTCCTGCAAAACTTTCTTTCTGCTGTACATATGACAGGCTTCTGATTTTGTCAGTATTCCAAAACAAATACTTTGATGATGTTCTTTCCCAAAATTCCACAACCCCTTTTTCATACTATCTACAAAATGCTCTTCAATCATTCAGATTGAAATGGTGGTTTACACTTCAGCTGATGTAACAGCTAATGTTAAAAAAAATCATCAACTTGGTTTGTACTTAGCCAAATTCAACAGAGAAAAAGATTACCAGTGACCTCACAGGTCCTGATCCTCTAATTACTGTATTTTTGACAATGATATATTTCTTGGATTGTTAACACAATGACATTGAAGCCAAGACTAGCACCTCTATTAATCACTGATGAGAAAGTAGCTGACATCCTTCAGTGATGACTACACTAAATTTCACTAAGGAACATCACTTGTTGAAATGTACATATATTCTGAAATATTTATTTGATTAAAAAACTACCACAATTTTCATATGCTTAGAACTATCTCACAAGAGACCAACATACTTCATGTACCTAGTCAATTTATTTCATATCAAGAACTATTAATTAATTCTCTGGCACAGTTTGTTTAAATGCAAACATAGACATTCTAATTTGTAAAACAAAAGGACAGATACATATATCAATACATCAGGTGGTGGGATTACTTTATTCTAAGGAGCAATGGGCTATGGACTGGATTTTCTTTTGTCTGCTAGTTATGACTGAAAACCTCTTAGAAACAAAGTTATTCCAGTGATGGAGTTGAGACATTGAACTGTGTATTAATGACAGAACAAGATGCACTGTGATGAATCATAAAGTATCCAAAGTATGACAGTCAATTGGTGAAGGATTTACAGCCTTTGTTTTTAAGTAGAAATTTCTGTCAAGGGCTGTCATGTTGTAGTTCTTGTGTCCCCACATTGCAAAGAAGCCCTCATTCTCTGCTGAAAGAGCAGCCTTTTGCCACAGTTTCTATTTTGCTGATCCTCTGAAAATCATATAAAAAAATCAAATAAATCATCATATATATACATCAAATATAAATCATATATAAATCAAATAACTTGATGGCAAAAGTCATCAAGTTAGGAGGCTTGTGTGCCTACACAGTAGAGTGAAGGAGAAAATGAAACTGCAGCTGCCAAAAACTGGTAATTTGTGACTAAAAGATCAAGTGACATGGAGGACAAAAAGGTCCAGCTGCAGAAGAAGTTGTACTGGTTTGACGGAATAGGAGTGACGGGACAAAGTTGAACTGGTTTGACGGAATAGGAGTGACGGGACAGAAGGACTCTCTATAAGTAAGGGAAGTTTCCCTTGGGAATGAGTCATATTTCAGAGTGCTCTTGCAACAATCCATCACTCATGGATCTAAGTGCTCAAAGGCCAGAGGCCATCTTTGGGCAGCAGAACAGGCATGGAGAATGGATCCATGGGTTGATGATCATGGGAGTTGTACCACTGAATGTGTACGTAAGGAATAGACTCCTGCTGCACCTCTGCATACACCAGGTAGAATAGCTTATGGTGAAAAGACTGTCCAGTAGACTGTACATTAAATCTTCTGTATTTAAGCACAAGCCTGTGTTTAACTCAGTTCAAGGCATGCAATAAAATTTTCCCAACCAGAGACGTGTGAATTAGTGGTTGAAAACATACAAATTCTCCTTTCACAATTGACTAGACCATAAACATGATAGTTCCACACAAAGGATGGGTTAATCTCACCCGCAGTTATAATATAAAACTGATTTTAATTTGATGATGAAGCTTTTGGAATTTTCAGGCACACTACAGATCTCGGAGTGTTCTGTGAATATTTATAAAACATGTTTATTTTGGATTAAATTTTCTCATATAAAATGAAAATAGATTGTGTACTCAGGCAAGTAATTTTTATGCATCCTATTGTATGTACCAGAAGGACAATATTAATTTCTCTCATTATAATCTATAGACCTTATTATCTACATTGAAGAAAATGAAGAATCACGTAGCCTGCAATAGTCAGCTGCGTGAGCTATAAAAATAAATTTCCTTATCTAAAAGCAATTAGAAATGTAATACTGAAGGTATAGCTCTCACAATAACTAAGAGGTAATTACTAAGCTTGTTCTATATCTGATAGACAAAGATTTTGGAAGGAAATTAAATCACTGATTTTTTGTCCTAGAGTTAGATGCCAAATAAGATCATATCATAAATTAATGAATTTTTATCCTCATTTTATACCTAAAATCATGTCTAGCATGCATATTGAAAAAGCAAGGAAAATCAGAAACTTGTGTGTTTGTTTCAAAGAATAACAGTGGAGATTCACTTTGAGCACGCAAAGACTGGTACAGTCTTGCAGCTACAGGAAGATTAAAAGTTTTCAGCCCCAATGAAATCATCTATATCCACAGGAAAATTTCTCATTAAGTTAAGCATGTGTCACCAGGACCCTCTAACAAGAATTAACATCACAACCACAGACAGAATGCACTGATGGCAGACTCTGCTGTAGGAAGGTACATAACCAGCAGATTCCCATGCTGGTCACATCACATCCCTTTTTATTCTGTCCTGCCTTAAATAGCATTAGCTTCTCAACACTCTTTACCCATACAAAAGCATCCATCATTTCTTCATTCTTAGTGGCATAGTCACAATTCTTCACTGACAGCTGCTTCTTATATTTTAAAAGACCTTTCAAGTGACTATCTGATTGTCATATGAACACGTGCATTTCCTGACATGATGTTGAGAACAATGTAACTAATATGTTGCTACTAAATGGAATAAAAAATTGCAATGTTCATCTACCTCCTCTAAAACTAAAAAATTCCATCTTTCACCAAGAAAATTGAGTCTGTGTAGTCCTTGATGTATCATAGATGGATTTCTGCTGAGTTAATAATAGCGTCAATACTTAAAAGCCAAGACTTACCTTTGTGCGGGCAACATTGTATTTAAATCAAGGTTATGGAAAATAAGAGTAATAAACCTCATGGAACTGAGAAAGCATCCAAAATAGTAGAAAAGTAGAAAACGAAGCAAAGTCAAGTCCATGAAAGCAGCAGTATAACTTTTGAAGTTCATGGCTTTATCAGAATACGGTATGCTAGTGTGAACAATTACAGTTCTATGTAAATTTTTTGAGAGGACAGTGAATGA